TCTCTCTCTCTCTCTCTCTCTTCAGACGATAGGAAGACAGTTCACTGAAAACAGTTTATTATTAATAGATATGGCTTGGTTTCCCGAGCGAGTTGTCAGCTTTATTTCGAGGTTAGTCTGTACTGAGTTTTTGAACTGTACGTTTTATTCTCCTTGCTGCGTGGCCCTCCCCCTCCCTGCACCTCTCCCCCTAACCCAGGTCCAACCATTCCTTCCTCAGCCCCTGCTGAGCGGTTGTCGTTTTCCTTTTGCCTCCTCCCCTCTACTCTTCTCTTAAAAACGAGACTCGCCACCGACTTTCCGACAAAGGAATAAAGAAAAGAAACAACTAGCCACGCTACGCGGTTAAGGATGGCACGGCAAACCGTAGCACAGCGCAGCACAGCACGGCATAGCATGGCATGGTGGGTAGAGACTTTCCGTACAGGGAGAGCAAGGGGGTACTTGCCAAGCCATTGGCGCAGCTACCCAGGGCGCCAATGTTTTCGTCTTCCTGATTTATTATTATTTTGACACCTACAATTCTTTACTAACGTCGTCGCACGAGCAGAATTTAATTTCGTCGCTTGTACGCGGCTGTCGCTGTTTTTCATTGACAAAATACAAGTACATCGAAATATCTCGATAGTTCAAAACGAATGACAGAAGAGTTCGAACGTCTTACGTTGTTTGTTACTGATTTGCTTTGATCTAAGAAACGTAGTAATTAGCGTAGAATTGTTGCAGATTGGTGTATTACGGAAATGTGGAACATTAATTGAATAATGGCTTTGATGAAGAGTTACGCTAACAAAAGACAGGAAAGGCTGACGCTAGGTCTTGTGTATACATGACAAAGTACTTTTCGGTAAAGTTCATTCATTAAATTATTAAAGGTGACGCCTATGTTTCTTCTGAAACACCGCTAGGAGATAATAGCGTGCGGGTACAGTCTCCAAAAAGAGTATTTCTCATTTATCCCACTACACTACTACATTTATGCGCTTTAACCTTGAATAATTGGAATATAAATGATTAAATATTTAGGAATTAGCGATATTTATCCCTATTCTTTAAAATTATGCTCAACTTTGGGAATGGTGCGAGCTATCTCATCGAGCCAAATCATTTCCCTACACTACGTATAGAGATATTGTATATTAAAATTCAACATTATTATTGAAAATTATCAAAAATGTAATTTTATCTAAATCATTTTAATTTACACTCTAATCGTTACTGACAATTCAACGAATGTTTTCAGATCATTAACGATACTAGCGGTGAATGGAAGATATCGGTCGATAAATATTCTACTACAAAATAGCATTGAAATATGAAGAATAATTATGATTATCTCTCTGGTGGACAGAAGATTAAAGCGCGGACAAGTAAAAAACGAAGATAACCCTAAACCATTATTCATTGGTTGAAGTTTGCCGCGACAGAAGGTACGGTAGTCGGTCGTGCGTCATCTCGATGAATTACGGAATTCCAGCGATGATACTGACGACACGATAATCTCGCCCGCTCGGAGGAACGATTATCTGGCGTCAGATTCTTTCTAGAGACGAATCCCATTTTCCCGAATTTGTTGGAAACGACTTTCCGTGGAAGTGAATCGGGGCAACGTCCGCGCACGATCACCGACGTAAAAATCCGGCGAAGGTTCGTGGCCGCGATAATCTAAATCCTTAGAAGGCCTCTCCGATATTCCCTTTTTACTCGTGCCATTCGACGTCGCGGCGTCGACATTTAGTGTCGTCGTAGACCACGTTGAACCATCATCGGCTTCCTTCAAAACCCCACCAGCCGTGCGAAGCTATCCTTCTTCGCCGCTCTCATAGACCTTCGCTGGACAAAAAGGAAAGAGAAAATACGCAGGAGAAAAGGAAAGTATACGCGCGGTTGGTATACGGCAAAACGAGTACATACGAGAAGGAAGGGAAAGAAAGACAGAGACAGAGAGCAGGAGGGTGATAGACGAGGAAGACGGAGAGAATATAGACGATAGTATAGGAAACGTAGGAAAGCACGAACGCGGGCAACGAAATGGAGGAGAGACAGAGAAGGATGAAGTTACGGGAAAGAAATGGAATGGAAAAGAGAGGATATTTGGTATGGTTAGACGGAGAAGAGGGAAGAAAAAGGAGGCGAATTCGAAGGAGTAACGGAGAGAAAATGATGAAAAAGTTGGAAAGGGAGGGAGGTGAAAGAGAGACGGACAGAAGAGCGTGAATCGGAGGTTTCAAGCCGCGCCTCCTACCTTCAGGGCCCATGTATCCACGGCTCGGCACTGTTGACGACGCAGCGCCCTATGGAAGGGGAAAGGGAATTACGGGGAACGTGGTTTAGGCAAGAACGATCGTCCGTAGTCGTAGTCGGGCCACGAGTCGAGTGATGTCGTTGGACCGACTTCTCTCGTCGCGACCGCGTTTCTTCCTCTTCCGACGCTTTTTACCTGGATTAAATTCGGCACCGGAGTGTTGTTCGTTTCGCAGTTACCCGGCTGCGTGCACGTAACCGAGTTCTCGTTAATTGGAGGACGAGCATGCGAGAACGAACGTTTCTCCTTTACTTGGAAAGCACGATAAACGAAAAATAGAAGAGGGAAAAAAGAAAACACAAGAAACAGGTCGCAATCCAGCTTCGAATACTGCGTCAACTCTCAAGAACACGTGTCGTCGTCGTTTGTCCGATGTATCGTCACACACGTCGATCGTCGTGTGATCAGCCGACGTCGGGCTTGATTGCTATCAGAAAGGTATAAGGTTCGCGAAAGTGTGTTTGTTTTCCAGTTTCTAGCAGTGTTACACGGTGAATCGTGCACGGGAGAGATCGGACACGACGAGAGAACGACGAATGATTGCCAGGTGAAAACAACGTCGTACTCTCAACGTCGGATACGGCGATTGTAGTGAGACGTGTGTACGGCTGCTGCGGCGACACGGAGAAACGGGAAGAAAATTTAATACGGTTAAGAATCTGAGAAGAGAAATAAGAGCAAAGTGGCGGAACAAGAAGCCTGAAAGGAAAGTGTGCGCTGCGTTTGTGGATTCATGAGGGTCTCATGGCTACTGGATTTGTAAAGTGGTGGCGGGCAAGGTTCCTCGCTGGCTATAGACCCTTTTCTGGTAAGAGCTACTATAACGTCTCTTGCTGTTTCTCTCCGTCAATTCTATCCATCTTGTCCTTTGTCTGCTTGGTCCCTTCGGTTTTTCTTCCTTCGTATTTCCTTGTCATATGCGCACGTCGAGGTATCGATGTTCGTCGAATTCGCGATGCACGAATAGATCGAGATACACACCGTATACGGATTTATCCGGTCAATCCGGTTGTAGGCGTGATATTTTGTTCGGCTTGTAAGCCGCGCGCAGAGCGTGTTCCTCGATGATGCTACTGCAGTATGACAGAAGTGGATCCCACGTGGTGTTACGTCATACTTGCATTTTTCTTACTCGTTGATCTACAATCACGTTCTGCTAAAAATTCTTTCTGCCACGCGGTCATTGGTCTTTTATTTCTTGAAGAATTTTTAGAAGTGTTTAATGTATTCTTATGTTATAAAATGATAAATATGTTTTTTATCATTTTTAAACAATTGATATATCTATTTTTATCTAGACAACATGTTCTTACGCATATGTAACATTTATGCGATATCGTAACATTATGGATATATAATTGTTTATAAATGTTAAATCTCAGTTGAACATATTATTTATTAATAATATTTAGACGTATCATCTCTAGTTTTGAAAGGAGCAGATAAAAAAAATTACATGGTGTTTCAAATACACATTGGCATTTATCATTTTAAGTTTCATATACGTGAAATATTGTGTGAATACAAATATTTGAATAATTGATATCGATTACGGCATTCCATCAGTAAATAACTACTTTATCGTTATATGGTAACGATCTTTCAATAAACTAAAAAATACATTTAATATGTACAGATACCAAAGAATTATAATCATTTTATAAAAGTAAATAAACAGCAAGATACGTAGTGAATAGATATGTAATTGAAAATATGCACTCGTGAATTGTTTCAATACTTTTTTAATTGTAACATTTGGAAAAAAAGATGAAAAATGTAAAAAACATGTTGTAACTTCTAGTAATTCGAGAAGTTCCAATGTAAGAAGGATAATAGTTTCTTAGTTGTATGCGAAATACTTAACACATGGTTAGATCATAATTTTTAATATTTGTATACATGTTTTCTTGAAACAAACATAGCTGTTCCAGCCGGAGACTAACATCTACCCTAAGAGAGAAGATAAAAATAAAACGCGCTTCTAATTAGGCGTGCTCCAGAATTCGAAAAATGTTAATTGATAGCAACTCGTTCGTAGATCTTGCAAGTGCATTGTGCAAAAGCGGAAATTATCAGTATCAGTAAAAGTAAATATTTCAATAAAAGTTAGGTATACCATGACGTTCGATAGACTGTTTAAAGTTTATCATTTTATTGGCCAAAAAAGTATACAGTGCAAAATATGTGTTTCTTTCCAAACACATGCATACTAAATAATCCACGAATCCGCTAGTGTATTTGTCATAAAGCAAACTTGAGCTATAGGGGCTCGCTGATTAAAAACTGTCGTATAAAAATGGGAAAAAAAGAGAGGGAGGGGGGGATGAAGGAAAGAATAAACTAGCACAATGTTTTTTTTTTTTTTATGTCGTCTATTGCGTGGTCAAAAGGAGAAACTGGTTGAAAATCGTGGAACAATTCGAAACGGCGAATTCCGCCTTTGAAGCTGCGACTCTTCTCTTTATAGATGTTTTTTTCGTGCGGCAAAATTTTCATACGAGTCGTGGAGCGAAGGGGCAAAGAGCAGGGAAAGCTGTTGCGTCGGCAAATGATAAAAGTTACGAGCCAAGCAAACAGAAAGGGGTGATTTACAAAGAAGAAAGCAGAAGCCGTTTGTGGCCCCGCTCCCTCGTTGCTTTTCATTCAAGAGGGCGCAAAAGAGGTGTACGGTACACGCGCGGCATAAACACACGCGTGCGCTCGCGCGCTCTCTCGTATCGTGTACGTATGTATATAGGCAGCACATGTAGCCGCACGAGGGGGAGGGTCGCGCGTCAAGGGTGGAGTTTAATTATCGAGACCTTGCGAGTTCGTTACATACATTAGTCCGGTGGTGGTTTGATAAAAGGCGTTCGTGGCTATTCTCTATTCCTTTGATATCAAAGCAAAGATTCTCTCTTTGTTCTCTCTTTCTATCCCCTCTACCGTCGTCTCTGCTGCGTTACTCTCCATCTCGGTTTCCTCCTGTTCTTCTTCCTGTGTTTCTTCCTCTTCTTGCTGTTTCTCTCTCCTTCGCTCTCTTACCACCACTCTTTGTCTCCCTTTTTTCTCCCCCGATGCGCTCAATGTCTTGGGTCTTTAACGCTCACCCCACGAAAAAGTTACGGGCGTAATTACCACACGGCAGGTATCATTATACGCGTATATGCGTTCGTTTCTTTATGCAGATACGATTATCCCGCTTTTTCTTCTCCTTTTCTAATTTTTGTTTTTTTGTCTCCTTCATTTTTTTTCTCTCTTTCTCCCCTCTGTTTTTAATCTCTGTCCTACGTTCGGCCTTCTCTCTCTCTCTCTCTTTTTTTTTCTTTACCTTTCCAGTTACTTCATTCTCCTCCTTTCTGCGTGCGTGTGCAAGCGTTTTCTCACTGCTTTTTTCCTCCCTTTTATCTTTTTTCCACCCGTTGCTCTTGAGTAATTGAAATTAGCGGTCGGCTTCGTTTATTACGCGTTTCGTATCGCTAATTATCGTTGCTTCGCGGCCCCTTTGATGCCAACGTTTTTAAGTATATATTTTACTGGAATCACGCTGGCACAGGCTTAATGATGTATCGCGCGAATTAAGATAAAAGCGGAGCCTCCTCGAGACCGAAGAGGAGAGACGTCCGAGCATCGTAGAAGGGAAGCGTGTAACCGGTGGTCAAAGCACTTGAAACATTCTCCGACTATGTATGTACTCGAAACTCGAGCTGCCGCCGAACTCGTTTTATCGAACCTTGATTATTAAACATTCCCTTAATATTTTGGTCGACTGCTCAGTCAACTTGAAACAAAATCCTAGTAGTTCAAATAATTTTAATATTTTATAATGACACTGCTTAAATAAAGGTAGAGTATTGCTTTCTCATTGATTTATCAAATCTGTGTGCATATATGTGCGCAAAGTTTAAAAAATGTTGTTGAATGTAGAGATAATGAATATGAAAACAATTTTAAAACACTAGGGAGGATTTATAGAAAATTTGTAAATATATATTCCCGGAAAGAAATTTTTATTTTGCGCGTTCATCGTTGAAAAACGTTTATATATTTATATTTATTGCAAGATACTCAGAAAATTCTACTGTACTTAATACTTTGAGCAGTAAATTGCTTGTTTTTTTTTTTTTTTTTTTTATTAGAATTAGATATTAGAGGCATGTATGATGACTGCCTATTAGAATGTGTAAATTTTAAAAGAAATTGAGAATTCTCCCTTTTTTAATTGAATTGTTTCTTGCATTATACTGATTAGTATGAAATAGAAAAAAATGCAAGTTAATATGTAAATCAGTATGTAAATCTATGTCAATTGCAGCTATATTGTTTTTCCCATTTATTTATTTTTATATTTTATTTCTTACGACTGGAATTTATGTGTCGTTATTATTTGATAAAATATAAAATTAAATTGACAAAAATAATGAGTCAACTTTCTATGCGTTTCATGAGAAGAAGGAGAGATTCTTTTATTAATATTTATTCCAGCATTCGATACGTACAAAATTCCTAGATACAGGAAATTCTTTCAACAGAATTGTCTCTACGTGTGTGGCAAGGCCCGTTAGATAAAATCTTTGCTTTCTTTACCAAGAATCTTTACCGCGTAGGTGGCAAAGAGGTCGTCTCAAATTTATTGCTCGCCATCACACTTTTATACTGATTCTGTCATTAAAATCTTATCATTGTACATTTAACACATCTTCGAAGCAAGAAAAAAGTTCTTCTAAAATTATTTCTGTGAAAAACTATTGTCAAACTAACTGTTATTAAAATTTCAAAGAAGTTGTGTGC